GCAAGCATGCATGCATCATGTTGTACCCACATATGTTTACCTTGTCACTTCTGACAAATCAACTTTTGATGTTATTTCATATCCTTTTATCTTTGTTGCTGAAAGTTGGATTCTTTTCTTAACCTTTTTCTTTACACCTAAACCTAAAAGTATATCAAATCCTTTCTCATCTCGAGCTGCCACAGGAATTCGTGTTGGACAGACAGATTCTATAAAACAAAAGCAGTAAAAGTCAGTTCATCATGGACTCCTCCAAAAACAAATGAGAAATCAAGGGGAAAATATTAGAGATTATAAGAATAATATTTCTATATACATATATGTGTATATAAATACACTTTCTGAGAAAATAAAAAATTACTTTGGGTATTTGAGAGTGATGTCTCAATTGTCTTTTTTTTTTTCCTTAAGGGTGAGTAAAAGAAAAACAAAAATGTAAGAGGAAGATGTGTTTCTGGACTATTCTAAAGGCAACAAAAGCTGAAGATTAGTATGTGAAGCAACCTAAGACATCATAGGCAGGAGAACACAGGATCAGGATTCATGATTCTCACATAGGATTTACTTTTAATCAGTCATATAGCCATGAATACAGCTCTTAATTGCCTACATCTAGAAGATGAACTTTAAGATTCCTATCTGTAGTACTTGAGCTATAAAAAGAGACTATTCTTTATAGTCTACAGTATATAATTCTATAGCTCAAATATCACTGATTCTATCGTTGTGGAAAAAAAACAATCTGTGTTACATCTATTCCTGAATGTCCTTCACATGGGCCCATTATTTCATCTATGATTAATTATATACTGTATGAACCATATTTAGATATAAGTAAGGAAAATGTCCTTAAGAATTATTGACATTATATATCATAAGCTGTATGAAATATAAATATATAAAATACTTTATAGTTCTCTGGAAAATCAGTGTCTCCAATTATGTGGAAAATTTTTATGGTTGAGATGCTATTAAGATTTTATACCTTAGAAATGCTGCAATGGTTTCAGATTCTCCCAAGGCCCTCATTTAACATACACATTAGGTGTGACTATATATGTTTTATGGAACAACTCACAAAATAAAAGAAGAATTCCACTAAATGCACCTTAAAATAATTACTCTCTTGTAACATTAAGGAAAGGACAGGCATTATATTTAAAATACAATAAAAGTATTGATACAGATTTTATTAGCCTACAAAGTACAGTTAGAATTTGTACCACAAATTATTGGAAATATAATAAAGGTCTGCCATAAGTAATATGAGATGTATTCCTGGGAAGGGATGGTAATTTTTCTCTTTAGATCTTTACTATGTTTACATGTTGAGGAGGGTCTTTTAGTTGCATCCCCATTCCTCCAAGAAGCTTGGCGCAAACTCAAAAGGAGAGAGAGGAACAACCAAACAAGGTGCTTCTTAGGTTCCTGGGAATTTGGTGAAATTGCACATTGTGATTAACCTCAGCCTCCCTGCAGTACATGGCTGAGGCATTTCCACCTTTTGCAGGAACAGATCTCCCTACTGTGCTGTGATCAGCCTAATGAAGGTTCCAGGATACTGAAGATCCAAAGACACACCCATCCAGACAGCAGAAGCCAGAAAGCACTCTGCCATCCATGACAAGCACCTGTATCAGACTCACTGATCTTATTTAGTGGTGATAGTGAGAGAGGGTGGAAGAGTGTCCAAGAGAGGTAGGCGGACTGACACCACTCTATGTGAAAACATGACATGCAGGAATACGTGTTTCTCAATAAAAATTTTACAGTTCCAAGCCACAATTCAATGGCTAAAATTAAATCCATCTGGTCAGTTTTTTTGGGGGGTGGAGGGTGGAGAGAAGAGCATACATAAAAATGAATGAAGCCTTATTGATTAAAACTGGAAAAGAAGTTCAGTTTAAAAGAAAACATGTTAAATTTGACATTGTAAGAACATGCAGATTTGAGTTATTTCTTTGACTTGTTTTACAAATGGGTGAAGAGCTCAGAGAGCTCAGCGCTCCTCAGAGAGGAACATTGGCTATAAGCCTTATCCTCTTTTATAATGTCTGATGAAACTCTAGACCCTCTCCTGTGAAATAAGATCTGCATAGGGTTTGTCCAGGAATCAAATACGGTGGTGTCTATGAAAGTGCTTTGTAACTATACATGGAATGCAAGTGAAAAGAGAAAGTAGGTATCATGCTCATCCTTGCTTTGTAGTAAAACCCTTTACACTCTGTTCTAATTTCCAAAATGTTACAGGAAACAGTGTTGCACAGTTTGTGGAATCAGGAACACTAGGTTATTGGTCATAATATAGCAATGTTTATCACCAACTCCAATATCTCATTAGGGAAAGCATACTTAAATAATTATACAGTATGTATTTCCCTGAGGACTGTTTTTCCCCAATTTGCTTGCCTATAAGCAGATCGATATGATATCATTACACATAGAATTAAAAATTGTAAAGTGTTAAAATATAGTTTGCATGTTTGTATACACTTAATTATGAGAAAGTTAAAAGACCATTTCTAGTTCTAAACTCCCACTTCGATTATCAACAGATAAGCTTTTTGCACAAGCTTCAGGAGAAAAAGGTAAATACTTTTTATATAGCAGTGAAATCAAATACCAGGAAAGACTTGCTTGCACCTTCTATAGCACCTACAATGGGTAAGTAGAACAATTTAGATAAATCAGATTTGTTTAAAGCAATGCAGGCAGAAGCAAGTCCAGGAAAAAAACTCACATACATAAATTCCCAAATGGATCCCTAAACAGACTCATGTTATGATTTCATTTTATTCTAATATGCTTAGAGACCATTCAGAATAGGAAATATTTGAGGAATGAGCAGCGATCACCACATTAATTTTAAATCCTGAGTTCCAGGAATATTTGTTTTCTGTTAAATCTTAGGGCTCAGTGGCAGAAATAATTTGGTATTACTGGTATCATAAGAAATTTTATTTCATTTAAAATCATACCATGCATAAGATCACAAAAACTGGATACTTGGAATCTAGACAGAGCAATCAAATACCTCTAGCTGTAGCTCTTTGGCAATACAATAAAATAATAGCAAAACCAAAATAAATTATCCAAATACAGTCTTTTAGTAGAGCTGATAAATAATAAAGCATCACCAAATTCACACAATCTATTTTCTTATTACAAATTGAATGATCTCATCCTCTTTTACTAGAAAATAATTTTACTAGGATGAATTGGGTAGAAGTCTATCTGAGGAAGATGTCTGTGAGATCCATGACTGACCAACAATGGAGAAAAGTGTGCATAAATTTCTTTTTGCAGTGCTGGGGATTTAGCCCAAGGACTTCTCACTGAGCTATATCCCCAGCCCTTTTTTCATCTTTTATTTCTAGACAGTTTCACTAAATTGCCCATGTTGGGCTTGAACTTGTGTTCCTCTTGCCTCCACCTCCCACAGTGCTGGGATTATAAGCATGCACCACCACATAAACATACTTTTAAATAACATTTCTTTCAATGTTAAATCAAAGAGAATAATAGGTTCCAATTAGCCTATATACTCTAATTTGTCTATTTTCTGAATATGTCATGTCATTCTACTTTTCCTTTGAATATTCAAATACATATTCAAATATATTCAAATTGCACTTCAAATTGATTTCCTAAATCAATTTTCATACATAATAAGAACATACTGTTTCTTTATTTGAAAATATAGCTCTATTATCTCTAATTAAATGAATGGAAAAATTCATGTTTTGGATATGCTTACAAGCGCCTGACAGTCTTAATTGCCATCAGTCAGTTTATGATCAGACCATTTCAATCTTCAAATAGAATACAGAGTGGTTCTCTGAACAAATAATGAAGTTTTATTAAATATTTTACCAAATTCTATCCTGTTTACACCACCCCAGCTGAGTGGCTGGGAATTCATGAATATGTATTACTAGTACTGGAGGGGCAGAAAAGAAACAGTCTTATGTGTAGATACAGAAATTCATCATCTATGTGTTATGGAACCATGGAAACTAAAACCTGGCCACTTCCACAAATATTTCAGTCATCCTGCCCACAGTGCCTCACGTGCATACCTTACCCTTTGGAACATCTACTGAAATACAAGTTGATCTTAGTTATATAACAAGCCATCTTTAGCAAGCATTACAAAACTCGAATTAGATCATTAAAGTATTGAGCAAACTTCAAGCAAACAACAATACAAAGAACAAATAAATTGGGATTATAATTATATTAAGAAAGTCAAAATTTCTGATCACAATTTCAAGCTACAATACACTGCAATAAAGAACATGGAAAGAAGAAAAATCCAAATGTTTATTGGGAAGAAAGACCCCCAAAGGTCTAATCAAACTGACAGTGTTTACCTCTCTATCCCTCCCATGCTCCCTTCTCTGCCTTCTCCTCTATCTCTCAATCCTTTTAATTTGCCATGAGAGAATAAAAGGGAAGTTTTATTCTCATGAAAGAAGGCATTTTGCAATAAAAAAATCTGGACTCAAAGCTGGATAATCATTCAGCAGAATACTAAATATATGGTTTTTTCTGGAGGTTCCAGAAGGCAACGTTTATCAGGAATGGTAGAGCCATTTTAAAAAGCAATAATACGGATCAAATCTTGTATAATAAAAAATTGCCCAGCTAGTCTAATCTTGTTCACAGAATGGGAATAAGGCTTCTTCAAAGAAGCCAAGGCTAAAGGTGGATAGCTGAGTGGAGCCAAAATCAGGGCTGATTTCTGTCCTCTGGCAGTCCTAACTAGGAATATCATAGACTCTTTTTAAAAATATACACATTTCCTTTATCATCAAAAAGTCTGAATAAACTTAAGCAATTTTGTAGAGCCTATTCTTTGGCTACCTACACCTGTGCAAAGCAAGTTTGACATACCTAATCAAACTATGAAACACAATAATTCCAGCCAAAATAGTTGGAAGCCTTTGAAGATACCTAAGGAAGGTATCTTTCAGGGTTCAAGGGAGCAAGAGCAAGTTACATTTTTTTCTCCTTCCTCATTCTGTTCCAAGAAGCTCATGCCTGGTTGACTCAAAAAAGGAATAGAAAAGTGACATCCAAAAGATGCTTTTTTGGGAAGCTCCAGCCAACTCCAGAAGAACAAATTTAATTGTGATATACAAAACAATATACCTTTATGATGGGTAGAACATACATCTGCTACCCTGACTTCAGAGGACTGCCTGAG